GAGCACGCTTTGCGTGTGACGTCCGCCGTGTGAACGGCACCCCGCTCTGCGCGTACCACAACCCAACGTCCCCAGCATGCACGAGACGAGGGAACGACGAGATGACTAATCCCCCCCCAACACAATAACTATGTAAGCACTGTACTCCATTGCCCGTTTTACTGGCTTATTTTCCATGTCACTGTAAAGGCCTGATGATGAATGACCGAAAACAGATGTTTGCCGATGCGACTTTTTAATCGGTAACGAAATGGGAACTTTTGCAGAATTAATCGGCGAACACCCACTCCAAGATGGCGTGGAAAATTTGAAGAGTGCTTGTGGTGGGTAGTTGCTGTGACATGTGAATGGTCCAAGAACGAGTAAAAGCATTGCATTTGTACACAGATAGATCGCTAAGGGTGCAACAGGCCAAAAGCAGACAGCTGTTTCACGATCGTTTCCGATTATCAGTAGGCTGTAGGCCCTACGAAATGTGCGCAATGCCAATGTAGTCGCAGCTTACAGAATGGTTTCAGTAAACGACGTACTTCGGTGTAAAGGAATAAAGGCTGCATCCGTAGTAGCAGTAGACTGTTTTTTGCCATTTGGTAGTGAGCTGTTCTCCAATCAGTATCAGTATATTTGAGGGGTATGTAGGTGGGTTGCCTTCGAGTTCCCTATTTGTACATATGTGTTGTGGTAGCAGAAAAATAGTATCTTAGTTCCTTGGCGAGGCTAACTGACCTGAGCTATGAGGTGGAACATGGTTTAAAAAAGAGCAGACAATGAAAAAACTCCTTGGGAGTCACTCTTGGTTACAAGACCGACATTAATCTATTTTTGACAGGAAAAAATTGTATCGACTCACCTTGAGTGGCGGATAGGATCCCATGCGGATGCCGAGTATGCGTCGTTAGTCAGAAGTCTGTGCCAAAGCAAAAGCAACCGTGAGAAGGTTTAATCACGTTTCGTAAAAACATGGAAATTATCTATCCTACTTCGAGGCAGAGCATCGACATGAAGATTGATGTGGGTGGTTGGAGATGGCGCGTACACATGAAAAGACACTTGACCACGTGCCGGCCGGTACAAAAGACCATCATGTAGCAGCATGGCGTTCTAGAAATGCTAGTTGGGATGACTGATTGAGTCGGTTTTACGGCCTTAACGTGTTGTTAACCCTGAACATGGTAAAAGTTAAGTTGTTTCAGGGCGATAAAAAGGCTAGGCAGGAGTTTCCTTGGTAGCGCACATATGTTCTTATTGATATTTAAATGCCTAAACAATTAATTTCTATTAGGGTTAGGGTTAGGGTAAGGGTTAGGTTTATGGTTAGGGTTAGGTTGAGAGTTAGGTTTATGGTTAGGGTAGGGGCTGGGGTTAGGGTAAGGGTAAGGGTTAGACTAAGGTTTAGGGTTATGGTTAGGGTAAGCGTTAGGTTAAGGGTTAGGTTGGGGTAGTGATATCGCATGTAAAATGCCCCAAGTTTCTGTCTTACGGGAAGCGTTGGAGTAGGCATCTAAATGTAAATAAGAACATATGTTTGCTACCAAGGAAACTCCTGCCAAAGGCTATTTGCCGTCAATAACTTTCTAACAGGTTACCTTGAACCTCAAGCCAGTAGAACAAAGGATCGACTGGAATTAAACCCTAAAACTCGCATTTTCGCCCGTATCTGTATTTTATTTGGGCTCGATGCGGTTCAATCGGCCCGACGATGGGAAACTGTTGTACTTAGAGAGGCCTCTACCCTTGCACAGGTGTCGTGAGAATAACGTGTTGCTGAAATTTGTTACATATAAAGCCTCG